TGGATAAGTCGGGACCTGACGGAAGATGGAACATACATCTTATTTGGAGGACCGTTACCTGGGTCAGGTTCAAAGACCAGGGCTGCGTTGATTAAATCAGTGATCTCCCAGGAAACGGCCCCAACAGTGCAAGAGGCTGGAAGAACTGGTTCAGGTGTCTCGGGTTTATCAGAGGAATACAGACGAGAGAGAGTCGGGCTTGACGTTTTTGGAACCAGGTTTGTAGGAGATAATTAAATTGAACCGAGAGAAAAACAGAGACCACCTTGAATGCTGAGGGTTGAATCTTTTAGCTGATTGGATATAGGCGAGGTTCTTGTGGTCAGTCCAAACCAGAACCGGATGTTCCATTCCTCCATTCCTCCAAGGCAAGCTTAATGGCCAAAAGTTCACGATCACCAAGATCATAGTTTTGCTCGGCTGAGGATAATCTGCGAGAAAAGAATGCACATGGGTGAGTCTTTTTATCAGAGTCAGATTGCTGAGATAGTACAGCTCCTACACCGGAATCAGAGGCATCCACCTCTAGGATGAACTGTTTCGTAGGATCTGGTTGGACCAACATGGGAGCACTGGAAAAAAGTCTCTTTAACTTATTGAAAGCTGCCTCAGCCTCAGGTGTCCATTGAAATGTTTTCTTTACAGAGATAAGAGCAGTGAGAGGTAGAGCTGTCTGGCTGTAATTTCTTATGAACCTCCTGTAAAAGTTAGCGAAGCCGAGAAATCTTTGGAGTTGCTTGCGGTTCTCAGGTGTAGGCCAATCCAGAACTGCCTTTATCTTTTCTTCTGAAGGCTTCACCTGCCCGCCCTCGAGCACAAACCCTAGAAAAGTGACAGACTGTTGATGAAATTCACATTTCTCGGCTTTCACAAAAAGTTTATTTTCCAGAAGTCTCTGAAGAACTAGACGAACGTGCTTTCTGTGATCTGAGAGGTTCTTGGAGTAAATCAAAATATTGTCGATGTAGACAAAAACAAAGACATTCAAAAAATCTCTGAGAACATCATTGACCAAAGCTTGGAAACAGGCAGGAGCATTTGTGAGACCAAAAGGCATGACCAAGTATTCAAACTGTCCTAAGGGGGTTTTAAAAGCTGTTTTCCATTCATCCCCTTCTCTTATTCTCAGGAGGTGGTAGGCGTTTCTCAGGTCAAGCTTGGTGAAAATTGTAGCCCCCTGTACAGGTTCGAACGCTGATGCTAGTAGTGGCAGGGGGTATTTATTTTTAACAGTAATCTGATTCAG